CACGGGGGCCGCGCAAGGCAAGCGGCTTCCTTCTCCCCGCCGGCCGTCGCGCTCGGCCTCCGTCCCACCGCCCTGGGCTGGCTCTCCCGTCAACTCCGTGCGGGAGGCCGATGGCGTCTGTTCTCCAGTCCCTGAAAACCAGCGGCTAACGCACCCCGCAGCTGTCTCCGTGCCCCTTAGCCGGGTTCCCTGACGGGCGGCTGGCGTGCAGGGCCGGGGACGGAGGCTCTCCGCCCGGTGCAGAGCCTGCTCATGGCTTCGCGTTTGGGTGGCGGCATCGGCCGCGCAACGGGGACTTGCGCGTGGGTGCTGAGCCATGAGGGCTGCGCGAGCCGGGGAGCGCAGGGACGGCTGTGCGTGGGGACACCAAGCAGTCCAGCAGCCCGCGCACCGCCAGGCCCGGCAAAGCTCCTCCAGAGACCGTGTTTCTCCACGCCAAAATTAGAAATGTCACTCTCTGACAGCTCTGGCACATTTCACGGCACAAAGCGGCCCCGGGCAGCCCACGCGTGGCCAGCTGGTATTCGCCGAGCTCAACCTGAGCGTGACACTCGCCACAGGGAGGACGCATGTGAGCAACCACCCCGCTGTCCCCCTTTTTACAGAAAATTTCCCCTGGGGTGGGGGGCAGTGACCCTAATGAAAGGGTCTTTCTCTGGCAGGCACTTGCGTCAGACCAAAAGAGCCCAGCCGTCTGCCAGCGCTGCAGCCCCTCAACCCTTCGTGTGCTTCCCCAGGCGCGGAGGGAGAACGAGGCCGTCTGGCAGGAGGAGAGGAGCCGGGGAAATGGAGGAGAACCGGAGACAGGATAGAGCGGTGCGTTTATATACACAGGGGGTTTTAAAATGATGATGGAGTGCCATCGCTGGTAAAGATGAGAAAGGACCATTCATCTTGGAAGATTTCTCCCCTCTCAACTTCTGCCACAGCCCCTATTGCAGCAAACGTGTTTTCAGGAAGGCATCCCTCTGCACACGGCATTTCAGGCTTTTGGATATCTAAAACCAGTGCTTTACTGGGGAGGCTGCCACATCCAAAGCCTTGCAGTCTTGCTCCACCAGCCCTCTTGGGATCCCAAAGTGGCACTGAACTGTTCTGCTGAAGCCGCGCAGTGCCATAGATAAAATTTCATTTTAATTTGCGCAGGGGTTTGAAAGCCTGGAGCAGCACCGTTTATGGGCAGTGTAGTCTCCTTTCTCTTGCCCTACAGTGGTTCACTGGTGGGAAATACCATGTGAAGGTTGTCATCATCACCTTAAAAATGTACTCGCCAGCTACAATTTCTGGAGCAGCTGACACTTTTTTTTCTGACTACAGACTTGCAGAAACCACAACGCTTGGAACGACGTGAGTCTTCAGATGGTGCATGCGGGATGAACCTATACAAGATCAGAATTTCCCGTTATAATTACACACGATTGTTTGGACTCATCCCAGCATCCTTCGCTTCTGTGATAATTACACTGGCCTTGAACGCTATGTACTGACATCCCAATATCTTCCTGATACTCAGTAACTGCTTCTGATCAATGCTGATGTGAATGAATTAAAGTTAATAATATTGCCTCCTATTAGGGCAATGGTTGCTGAGTTCTAATTCAATCCTGCCAGCTGAAAGACAGCACGAGCAGGTGCTTTCACTTTGGATGTGAAAAGAGACATGATTTAAGGCCCTGGTGAGCAAGTTGAGATGTTTTTTCTCCTGGAAAAGAAGGAGAAGAGGTAGGTGGTGATTGTATTTTAGAGAAATACTTTACTAAATGTGTTTTGTGATGGATGTTTTAGGCCTTTTTGTTAGTATGATAAATATTAAATCATGGCTTTTAAGATTGAAGGCTTTACTTGGTTTTGCCTTTCTGCAGCAGAAGGAATAAAAATGCTTATTTTAATTTGCTTCTGTATTATAAATGGGTCATGTTAGGGTAGGTAGCTTTATAAAGAAAAATGTATTTGTATAGTGCACAAAACCAGCATCAAAATACTTCAAAACTTCTATATATGTATTTATATTACTCTTGAAGCCTGGGGCCTGAGTTCACTGTTATCCTGAACTTTGCTCATCTCATTGCAAAGCAAATACAAAATCTTACTTGTCTTTGCTTTAGATGGGTGAAATTAAAAACCAAGGTACTAGGGAAAATGGCAGTACAAGACAGCTGGCAATGGCTCCTGTTCCTTGCTAGTACTTTCCTTCTGGTTAGGACCCTTGCAAACTGACAAAAGATGTATCTTTACAAATCATTTTCTAGCCTGCACATGTGTTTAATTAGTCTCTAGTCTGCATAAGGAACTGCAAGGAGAAAGATAATTATGCAGGCTTCGTGCTGTTTTGAGCTTTTGCACTTTGCAATTTCTTTTCCAGTGTTCAATTAAAAGTTAAGCGCTCTTTGAGGCTATCCAAGTAGACAGCTATTGATTCTTCATTCTGTAGCAGAAGCCCTTCTTATAGTTTGTCAATTTGTAAAGTTGCTGGTTGGGAGAGAAACTGGGTAGCACAACATCCTTGGGGAAATACCACAATGAATTCAAGGCATGAGTTACAAAATGGCCTTGCACATAAGAACCAAATACTTGAAAATTTAAAAGTGCCTTGCTTTTTTTTAAGCATTAAAAATAATTTTCTTGTTAAATGAAAGGGCAATCTGTCATGTATGGAGAAGTTTTGAAAAGTTCTTACTATGTCAGTGAATGCACTGAAAGCAAGCTGAGGTAAGGAAAAGGGATTTTTAGGCCTCTTTATGCTCGGAGAAGGTAACCAGAGGATGAGAATCCATGGGCTGTTCAGGAAAAGCATTTCCAGACCCTTTACCTATACTGACAAGGCACTAGTAAAATAGTGCTTTGTATAGTTTTATGGTAATCACCCTGTCAGCTCCCTGGGACAGATGAGAAACCTGAGTGAAAGCAGTGCTTGGACTGTGGTTCTGCATGGCAGGGATCCTGGTTCTGCCAGTGATGGCCTTCTGTGTAGGGGATAAAGTGCCACAGGGAGAGACGGGTACCATGTGCCTTAATGCAAAATTTAACTGCCATGTATGTCTTTACTATGTGCACTTCTTATCTCCTTTGGATGAAAGAAACCTTTCATTAGAGATTTGCTGTCTGTCTTCTGGTTGTGGATGACACACGTGTGTCCTCAGTGGCTGTGATTTATCACTGCCACAGGAGACAAGTTGATGTGACAACACCTGAGACGATGAGAAGGGAAGAAAATTGCAAATGTTTGTGGGTTTTTTGGTTTTTTGTGGGTTTTTTTTGGCTATTAATGGGTTGCCCCAATAATGCTTGGGTCTGAAAATTTACTCTGCTTTGTCAGGAAGGAAAAAAGCTTTCACAGAGACCTAACTCAAAGACCATTCACCCCACGGGATCTTTCCATTTATTTTAACAGATCTTGAATTTTCCCTCTAATAAAGGAACAGGCAATACACTATTAGAGGAATTGATGCAGTTGGAATATAAATTCCCTGTGCAGAAGTAAAGATCTTTATGCACTAATGGCTAAGGAGTGAAGAGGATGGTTCAGACAAAGATTATAAATATCCCCATTAAGGGCCCTCATTATCACTGATATAATGACAGAAAAAACAGGGAACTCTTATGGGCAAAGCCAAGGCTCTTCATACAGGCTTTCAGCGCTGATAATGGCACATGGCTTAATATGGAGACCAAGTCAAACGGTCCCTTCTGCAAGCATTCAGATGTGGAGACCCTCTGTTCTACCAGTTTATCATATCTGATCTGCTGGACATGGGCTGCTCTTCAAGGCAGCTGGATACAAGCCTTGGTGTCGAAACCGGCTGAGCCTGGTCCAGGTCTTGCTTTGTCTTTCCTCCTGGACAGCTTTAAGGAGGATGCAGAAAGCAGTGGCTATGGCCAGGGGAGCAGGGAGGCTGCTGTGGAGAGTCCTGCTTCTTCAGGAGTTTCTTCTTGCCCTCCCATGTTGGGGACACAGGTAGGAGATGAGTATGAGCTGCCTGTAACATCAACACTTTGGATCTACAATAGCACAGCTGACTCAGTCCTAATTAGCTGTGACCAGTGGAAAAGTAAAGCTGGTACAGTACAGTCAAAGAAACATAACTGAATGCGAGCCTAGGAGGAAGCCTGTTAAAAAATACTGTAGTAGAAGATGAGCCTCTAATTAACAGATTTCTGGTACAGTGGGTGCACGATGAATTGAGATGGTATGGTTGACTGTGGTGAACAAAGCTGTATCCTAACAACCGGTGGCTCTATAAAATGACATTTGCAATGGAATGTCATTGTGCTTGATAACTCCAAGGCAGACTAAGCTGCGGAGCTGAGATTTATACGCGTGTGCAAGAGTAATGTTCAGTCATGGAGCCTTCAGCTGACTTCACAAAGTCCATCTGTGAAACCTGGAGCCGGAGCTGGTTTCCAGCTTGCTACCTGGATTTTCAGAATGAAGATTTTGGTCTGTATGTATCGGTACTGCTGTCATACCCAGACATGGGGACCAATTTCATCAATGTTTTCTTGATGTTGAGAATTATTGTTGCTTGTTAATATTAAATTTACACTAATGGTAGTGTTAATAAAATGCTAATTAAGACATTGTGTTCTGTGTGATGATGAAACAGGCGAAGTGCCTTAACAGTCATAATACTTTTCATATACGGACTGCACTCTTAATTTGAAGGTATCAGGGAATAGCTGAAGTTGGCCAGAGGGCACTCACCTCCATCTTACTAGTGGAGAATGAGAGCACTGGAAGGGCTCTCACCTCTGCTCAAGACACCTGCAGTTTTTGTTCAGTTCAGCTGCCATTGTGCCATGAGCCCAATTTCATACAAAGAGTCTTGTGGTGGATTCTGGAAACTGAGGCAAGTGAAATGTCAAGTCTGAAAATGTCCAATTAAACAGCTTAGAGTTGTAGAGAAAACCGGTGCTCTGTTATGCGACTTGCCATAAAGTCAAAATTTACAGGGCTATTTTGGCTGTTAAATAATTTAGTATGCGAAGTTTAGAGGTTATTTCTGCATTCCTCCTGTGTTTAAAATTGCTGGGATTTGGGCATGGTTTGGGAGGAATGATAATATTTTTGAGTTAGACTAGCTGTAGTTAGAAAAAAATTGACGTGTCTTCAGACCTACCTGTCCTCCTTTAGATATAAGAGGATTTGGGCTAGACATCACAATTACAGTGGTCTTGATGGCCATTCTCAGTATGAAAAAAGGCTGGGGGGAGGGGGAAGATTGTTTTTATGCTTTTGCATCAGAGTTGCTATTTAACACAAATTATCTTTTTCTTGTGTAATCTAATTGCCAAAAATTCAGCTGTTTCATTTGCACAAAGTAAGGTAACCCATGGGATATTATGCAGATGTAAGAAAGAGGTTTTCTGCACTGTCTTGATATATTAATAATAGAGATTCATGCACATATTAGGAGAAAACAGACTTAGCCATGTGTTTATGAAGTATGGCAAACCTCATTTAAAAAATGGAGGTATGAAGAAAACATCACCAACATCAAGTTTCCCTTCCTTAGCCTTCGATTTGCTGCGCAATAGCATGTTGTAGCTATTGCTATTTTTAAAAGCTTTGTGCAAATCAGTGTTCCCTGTGGCTGTTGAAAAAAAAAAAAGTAACTTTCAAAAAGCTGGTGATTTAACTTGTGATGATAAGAGCCTGTGAATGATGGACATCATGGGTTCATTTTATTAGATCCAGTCCAGTTTCATCTTAATAGGAAAACCTCATCTGACTTCACCGAGGGTCAGGCCAACAGGTTGCTTTTTGCCTCTAGCAGTAAGTAAAATCACTGGGTGATGTCTGCATGCATAGTATACACAATTTTTTTAATTGTTAATTCTGTAGTCAACATGTCTCACTAGGTTTAGTGGGTGCTTGTTGGAGACAGAACCTTGGGTTAGAAAAATGGACCATGAAGGTGATTATTTCTTTCTGAACTACTCACTGGGGAATCTTCTGCTTGTAAATGAGATGAATGTCTTTGATGCATGACCTGGCCACATGCCAGTCTGAGTGACTGCTGGTGCACTGCAAAATCGCCTGTCATGGGCTAAGGAGGGTGAAGTCTTGGCAAGACACTCTGCCTTGCCAAGTAGAGTGCAAAAGAAAGGCTTTCCATGTTTAGGAGTGCTGCAGCTGATGGGACACCAGGGGTCTGATATCATGTAAAGTCTATCAGGACAAGTGCAGACAGACATACACTTTGCATTGTGCCATACATGCGTTTTCCCTCCAGAACAGAGAGGGACAGCGAAGGAGGAGGAACTTGGGTCTGGACAGATATGTACTCCTGCAACAACTCCAGCTCCCTTGGAACCCAACTTCACATATAGAGGTGTTTTTGTCCACA